ATATATATAAATATATATTTATAGGCTTTTCTTGTTCCATGATGATGGGTTAGGTTAGGTTAATAAGATGGCTGTAAGATGCACTTAAATCTACCGATATCAGATACACTAAGCCCTACCGATACCAGATACAGTTAAACCTCTATGTAGGTTTTGTAGGAACCATTTTTGAAATTTCAAGGCATTCTTAAAGTTTAAAGTGTCTTGATAAAATTCAAGGATTTTGTAAAAATCTTTTCAGTATACGCACACTGCACTGTAAGGGCGATATTTTGTACTGATAGGTTAAATAATTAACCCTATAACGATTATTAGTATATATTTAATTTATACATGATTAAACATAATTAATATCTTTTTTTTAATTATTCTCTAGCCTCATTTCAATTACTTGTCCAAACTGTGGAATAACTTAAATTTTAACCTAAATGTATTAGTTGAAATTAACAGAATTAAAGATATAATGGACGAATATAATTCCGAATCTATACGCAAAAATTTTTTAGAAATACTTAAAACTAGCGTCAAAAAAAGTATGCTAACAAAATCACCATTAGTTTATACATTTAAAGAAAATCTTAAAGAAATAGAACGAAGGGAACTCAAAACTAATTTTATGGCAATAGTAAGTAAATAATTATATTAACACTAATTAATATATTAATATGAAATATATTAACAGCCGTCAATAATAGAGAAACACTGCTCTCTAACTATAGCATTAACTCAGGGGATTCTATTACCAGGTACCATAAACAAGCAGATATGTGACAATATGAAGATCAAGTTTGGTTTTTCTAATCTTGGTCTATCGAAATTCGCGCAACGTCACTTTGAGGAGTTTATACTTAAGTTGAATAATACGATTTTTACATCAATCGATCTAACATTATTATACAATTTAATGGATATTATTCTTAAACGGGATCATGAGAATGATGTCAAAGATGATCCTAAATTTAAAAATATCGACACGCAAACTGAAATGGTTATAGTTAACGATTTAATACCAGCAAACAAAAACGATTCCACTTTCAATAAGTGGGATCTTCATCGTGAAACTATTCATTTGGCAAATATTAAGAAATCACAAACGCATTCCACACAAACATCAATTTCGTATGGTCAACGTGATTCCACAACTCAAACTTACCGTCCTAAGGATAATCCCTAAATATTAATTCTTAACGAAATATATTTCTTACGTACCTTTTGTTTTGCTTTTTAAATCCATCATTGCAATCTTGTCCTTATAATTTATATAAAGACAGTTTTCTGTTTCCCAGTCAAGTGTATAAATCGGTTTGTTGCCTACTGAATTCGTTTGGAATATATGCTTTTTATTATCAACGTTCACAACACCAACCTAATAAAAATAAATTAAATTTTAATTTATGTTAATTTATTTTAAGACTTACACTAAATAAAATTCATTCATTAACATAAAATAATTAATCCAAACATTGGATACAGGTAAAAGGTTTAAATCAAGATGACGACTGTTTATTGGTGTTAATAAGAAAAATATGAAATGTTATTATAGCCCAATTTAAGATTAAAATACTTGGAAAGATTGCTAATAGCTGATATTATTGAAAGACAAAAGAATGTTGTTGCTGTCGTAATTTGAAGGGACTTGTAGAGCAGAAGACATGAATGGATTACAACATGAATGCACGGTTCATTATCGAATATAAGGGGAATTGTAATGTGATATAATGTAGTACATATAATGTATAATGTAGTTTCATTTCAGTAGTACGGTGCCATTGAACTAATGTAGCAACTACCAAGGCTTTTTACTTGCTAAATTTGAAGTGCAGAGTTACGTTTATTAACCAACTGACAAAACACCGTACTTAACTTGTGTTATACTAACTTAAAGTTTTGTGCATATTAGTTTTTTTTCACTAACAAATTCACTTGCGATTTTATATTAAAACAAAATTATAATCCACTGTCATACATGCTGTTAATTTTCAGTAATATTGTTTTTACAAAGATATTATTTTTAGGATATTTTTACGTTCGTTGTGTATAGATCCTTGTTTGGATGCTTAGATTTAATAGTAATTAAATTTGAAAAAGCAACATCATTATTGTATTTAAATTTTTTTTTAATTTATAACTGAATCTTATAGGTTATAATTTTAAAAAATAATACTCACGGTTCCTTCATTTGTTCCATAAGCAAAACTTAAACAATCTGGAGACCAAGTTATGCAATTCACAACTAAATCCGCACGACATAATGACTGTATATTAATATTGGTCGGACTTAGTTTTACTATATCTAATAATCCAAATGAGTGGTCACAAAATCCCAATAATATTCTATTAAAATATAAATCAATAAAAATTTAAATAAATTTAAGAGCTTCTATTACTTATTCATATCATCAGGGCATTCTTTGATATCATATATTCCGTTGCAAACAGTATTAAAACTAGCCAATACTTTTTTTGTGACCAAATCAAAACAAATAATTTGACGCGAACCACCTCTACACCAGATTATTTCTTTGTTATTATCGTAACAAATTGCGTCTGCAGCAAAGTTCAAATTCAACTGCTTATCTTTTGTAAATTTCAAAGAGATATTCGAGTTTTGATCATCATATGTTGGAGGATCACATGTCCAAGACATAATTTCGCCTTCTTTACTGATACCTATGATTGTATGCTCATTCTTCCAATTAACACTAAGCTGTCCTAAAAATGATCAAATGATTAAACATAACATAAATAAAAATTTAAATAATTCAATTACTTTTTGGGTTAAGAATTTGGCCAGGAGTTTTAATTGAATCGCACAATTTGCCATTTTCAAAATTCCAAACGCAATATGTGCCATTATATGCACTAACAGAAGTTAACATAATATGTTTTTTAATCAAATCATAGTCGGATTCATCTAGAAAAATTATTGAATACATATTAAGAAAATAGATTACTATAATCAATATAATCATATATATATACAACTAGTGACACTATTACCTTATTAAGTTTTACAAATTTATAATCCATACTTATTGAAACTTATGGAATTCATTTAAGAAGAAACATGGTTGAAGGCTCGTTTAAAGGCTACTGAAATACAGAAGCAAAACTATTGTTCACACAACTGAATTTAGGTTCAAAGAGCTAATAATGCAAATATCAACGTCTCCGTAGACACAATATTTATATATATGGACTATAATGGAATTGCGTTTAAATCCCATTAAAGTTTAGTCTAATAACAGCTTAAAAGATCTTTATAAAAGAACAGATATCTCTGCACTGTTGCAGAGATAGGGCTGCAATCACCCCTTTAATTCGCAAATTTGCCTCCTACAAAACCTACATAAAGGTATAACACTATCTGGTATCGCTAGAGACCAATGCAACCTAACCTATACTAGATTAACCTAATCTAATACAAAACAACTTTAAATAGGAAATTTTAAATTGGAAAAATTTTTAATATTTAATACTTTGAGCATGACACTATGGCCTAGACAAAATCTTCAAGAAAATTTTGTCGCTGATAAACAAAAATAGAAAGAGTAAGGAATCCCTTCAGAATGACGGTAGTATTCAATGGTTCTGTCTATCGGAAATCAAGCAGTTAAATTTAAAATTTCTCACAATATTTTTCAATTGATGCAATAACAAGAAAAAGAGGAACTACATAAGGTATATCGCTTTTCAACGATTTGGAGCCTAACGGTAAACAATATTGTTGTTGTTGTTGCTGTTGTAGCCCGCCGGAACCAGCTTGTGTGCACCCTTTGGGAGATGTTGAACGGCGCTTAGCCATCTTCGACGATTGTCTCCGTTCTTGGAACCGTAAACAATATTAGTGAAATTTAGGGGTTCTTAAAATTCACAAACTGGATCTAAAACCAAGCTTTATACACAAACACTTAAATAACAATAATAAAAATTCAAGTTTAGTGCATCGTGAACAATAGTAGCTGTTGTCAGTATATCTACTTTATATTGAAAAATTCTATATATCAAGTCATATACTTGGCATATAAGTACTTCGAAAAAATGAAAAAAACAATATTATTTTTTAGGGTATCAATTTCTAACAAATGCTTTTTACAGGTGAACTGAACGGGATATTATTATTAAGATTTTTTTACTTTACTTAGAGATATTTAAAATATTTATCATTCTATCATTCAGAGTAGATTCGTTACAAAGTGAATTATGATTTTCTTGTGCTTAAAAATACCTTATATATTTATAAAATATAATATTTTTAAATTTTATGTATAAGAATTACCTGCGAACTCTTTGGATTTTGATATATTGTCTTTAGGTTCCTCAACTTCAACTGTGTCTTCAGGTGTTATTCCAACTATTAGATAATAAATATGAATTATAATAATTTTAAATATAACAAAAAACGCTTTTAAATATGGTTCAACCTTAATATATATCTACTTACTATATTTACAGTTTACTTAATAATTTTCAAATTACTCACCTTTATCAATTGATTGATTACTTTTGTCGGAACCACCTAACGATGCATGCACCTGAGCTTTATATAAAACTTTAGTTTTTAACAAATTTGGGTCACCCTCAACTGCTATTTCGTCATCTGATGAACTACAAATAGTTGCTAAGCTTTCGTCGCTTGAAAGACTTTTATTATGTGCTATATTTTTCTCAGAACTTTGGCATTGTTCATCTTTATTTAGTTCTTCTTCCTGACTGAAGCAATCGTCCGATTTTGTAATAGCTAGTTGCACGCAGTCGTTATTTATATCTTTATTTATGTGTGTATCTAAAACTTCACCATCATTAGGTTCTTGTTTTTTAGATGCATTTTGACTTAAGCAATGACTGAAGATATCATCCGATTTTGTATTAGCTAGTTGTTTGCACTCGTTATTTAAATCTTTATTAACAGATATATCTAAAACTTTATCATCATCAGTTTCTTGTTCTTTAGATGTATTTTGACTAAAGCAATGCCAAACAATTGATGAAATTGCTGTTTCTCGATGACCTCGCAAAGCATGAATTACGGCCGATTTTTGTACATCACAAACATATACGACTCCGCGTATTGTTCCCACAGCAAAAATGTTTGCATTAAATTGTGAGCAACTTAATGACAATAATTTGTCTGACCGTAAATTCAAAAAGTTACGCCGTTTAATATAATTCTGTGAACTACAACATAACACAATAACATCCTGGGAATCAAGAGTCATGAGATTAGAGTTGCTCATGAAATCCATTAAAACAATTTTAAATTTATCGCCCTTTCCCTCCACGTGACTTTGTTGGACATGGGCTTTGTGTCCATATAAAGGGCATCCTTTTTCGAAGTCCCATACTTGAACGATATTATCCTCGAAAAGAACTGAAAAATATCTATAAATAAAATGTTAGTTTCTTATGAAATCTAAAATTGTGATCACTAATATTACAACATTACAATGTAACTTAAATAAAAAATCTAAATCTAAGTAAAGCGCAACAGAACTTTTATACCTCCTTGAATTTACACCGTCATCAACTGGCCACTTCGGATCTACGCTTATTTCATTAATAGGTTGTCGCGTATAAAAACATTCCACAGTTGGGTTCTGGTTCTCAAAGATGGCAACATAATTTATGCTGCGAAAGCCAGAGTATATAAGCGCTCCATTTGGGCATGATTTAAATACCTTTCCAACAGGATTTGCAGGAAATCGTGTTAAAGTTTCTGCCATTTTACTAAACAACCAACTTAAAAAAATTTACTACCGGCAATCAACAAAAATTTGACAGCTGACAGTGATTCCAACGCATTTCTTTTTCTATCAAAGAATATTTTTCAAAGATGTTCTTAACAAATAAGTTTATCACAAATAAGTTGTGTATATTAACAACTTATATTTCATGTTATATATAATATATGTGTATCTATATATAATTAGTCACGAATGTAATAATTGTTCGCTAGAAATCATAGCTAGTGAAGTCATCGGGATACTATATTTCTGTCAGGATTATAATAGTGCTATTTTCTATGGCGTTTACACTGGCCTCAAATAACTGATTTCAGTCAAATATTACAAATGAGAAGCAAAACATTGCTTTCTGTATACAAAATCTTATATGGACAAATAAAATCCGCACTAGCATTTTGAATAAATGGATTTCAACGAGTTTCAAATAAATTCGAAATGCAAATGAATACATTGAACATACCCTAAACAAAACTTAATCGAAGCTAAAAATAAGTTTTAAGTTTTAATTGTAAAGTTTAAAGGTACATTTCACCATCATCCAATATTTTTTGATACAGGTCGAAAATCAAAAATGAATATTAGTCAATTGTAAGCATTTTTATCTTATATATTTAAATGAATTTATTTATTGTATTTAAATTTATTAATAAATGAAATGCTCATATGGTTTTTACGGATGACTGGAATTTTGCAACATATTTCCAATAAACATTCACAATAGATTGATTTTGAGTTTAGCTGCACTAAAACTTAAGATGTACAATTTTCTGCGAGTAAAACCTAACTCTAAAAACATTAAGGGCATTTTCATTGCTTTATATGTTTCTTTTGTAAGTTGTGAGTATTTTTATAGTACTCTGAAAAAAAATTACGGCTATATTTATATAGTAAAACACAATCAGTTAAATTTTTTGCAAGTAAAACGTTCAATTAATTTTATATGTGCTCTTCTCAAAAATGTTAATTAAAATAAATAAATAATACTTTTCTAAGATGTGTAAAATGTTTTAAAAAAATATTTCATTTCCACAATTTTCAAATTTGTGAAACTTTTTAATTTTGTTCGAATTTTTGTTTACAAACTTTTGACAAATGATTGAAATTTTTGTTGAATTTTCCAATCCAGGTTCACAATAGTTCGGTTATTGCTTTGGTGATATATGGCAAGACCGTTTTTTCATGATTTTAAAACTATAACATGCTAAACCTTGACATTTGCGTAGGAATTTAATATATTTAATTTATAAGATGTTAAAGGAAATGTAAAAAGCGTGTATATATATTAAAATTGTTGACAAATTTTCAAATATGTTTCACTGCTAGAACAATTGTGTAAGCTCTATGCTTCAAACTAAATTAAGTTAAAGGAACATAGCTGCTATTTGTTGATAGAAATAACATGCAACTTCTTAGATAATAATGATTAGTACAATTTTCATAAATTTGTTTAAATTTTGAAATCTATAAATTGAGTAAACTGACATGAAAACATAGTTAAGAATTTTGAACTGTTGGCCAATAAGTCGAAGAAACGGCATCGCTACAGACTTTTTAATGGCTATATATCTTAAGAAATTTGCGAAATCCATACTAATAGGAATACCTATTGGCATAACATTTTTCGACTGTGTGGGGTATGTAGCCAGAGTGGATGGTATGTCATAACAAAAAAAAAATTAATTTAAATTGTCATATATACAAATATTGTTTGATAGGAATTTCCATGCAACCAGTTTTAAATCCAAGTCAAAATCAAACTGATTATGTGTTTTTAACGAAATGGGCTGTGAAAACAAATCGAATAGAACGCGGAGATATTGTTTCACTCATATCACCTAAAGACCCAAGACAAAAAATAATCAAAAGAGTTGTGGGCCTTGAGGGGGATGTTGTTTCAACAATTGGTTACAAACAAGAAATTGTTCGAGTACCGGAAGGTCATTGTTGGGTGGAAGGTGATCACACAGGACATTCATTTGATAGTAACTCCTTCGGACCAGTTGCGATGGGCCTTATGACAGCGCGAGCTTCCTTCATTGTGTGGCCACCAGAACGATGGCGTAGATTACCATCAGAACTGCCTCGTAGAAGAATACCAATACAAATAGCCAAAACAAATTATTACGGCTCATGAAGCACGATAATAACTTATATAGTTGAAAACTGTTTCAATTCAGAGGAAGCAGTGCTTCCTTATTATAATTATTAGTTGTTTTAATTGAAAGTATATTTTATAATTATTTAAGACTTAGACTTAAATCTAAATATATTTTTAAAACGTTTATTACAATAATTTTACTTATTTATAATTTTTCTGCATTTAAATAGAACTCAAGAATTTTTATTAGGTTTTATACCACATTCTTGTAAAATTTCTAATGTGTCGTTTAATGCAACACCTTCACGAAGTATTTTATAAAATCCTGGTTGTGATAAATCAATGACTGTGGAAGCGGATCTTCTCTCTTCAGTAAGACCAATTTGTCCAGCATCAAAAACAGCCCCGAGTTCTGGCCAAAGCCCACTAAATTCATCAACATTTAAACTACTCTTTTCAGAAGAGCGATTTGCACTTGTCAATGCCAAAGGTGCATTATACATTTCACATAGATTTCGTATAAACTGATAATCTGGTATTCTTATACCAATTTTGCTACTCTTTGGATTAAGAAACTGATTACTTAAATGGTTTGTACGTTCAATAACAATAGTTATTGGTCCTGGAAATAAACGCTTAAGAAGTTCATCTTCAAGATGTCGTGCATCTCCAAATCGTCGTAATGCTGTAAGATTCTTCACACATATTGAAACAGGCTTGTCGAAATGACGTCCTTTTATATCGTAAACTTTTTGTATTGCTTTTTCATTATTGGCATCACATGCTAAACCATAAACCGTATCCGTTGGTAATCCTATAACTTTATCATCACAAAGCAATTTACAAGCTATCTCTAACGTATTTGAATCCTCAACTTTATATACATTGCGCATCTTTATTGTTGGCAGCAGCTGCGTTGCACTGCTCGTTAAATATTTTCTTAAATGTAAACCTAAATTTATAATTTCTTTCAGACTCAACATTGAATTTAATATATTAAACTCTTGGTTAGTATAAATTATTATCACTTTAATCTCTCCAATTGTGTCCACACAATTGATTGCAACACTTATAAAATGTTGTCATTGGTTCATCAGCAGAACGTGTTTGCATTTGCATAAAATAAGCCTTTTTATTCGAGCAAACTGGACATTCAGCATCGGTAGAATCTACATTCTCCCAGGCAGCTGCACCACCCATAACATGATCAACTTCCTAAACATTACGTTTGCAAATTATAAAAAATCTTTCTTAACAAAAATATAATAATTATACCTTAAGACGTGGATAACTTTTTGCAGAAATCTTTTTTTTAATCTTGCATATATATGGACATGTATTGCAACTGAAACGATCACCCACGGTATCTTCTTCAACCATTAAAATATTACCGCATGTTGGACAAAATAATAACATACTTTACACACAATAATATATTGTATTCATTTAACATACAATATGTAAAATTCTTGTACTTATTCACCTATTTATTTACACGTGATAATAAAAAACCAAAATAAAATGTGCGGTAAAATACTACTATGTATATAGATATTACACTTTTATAAACATAGCTCCATGAAGTCAATGAACATAACATTTTCAAATACTAATTAATATTAATTAATGTTAATAATTAATTTATTGTTTTAACGGCCATACATTTTATTAATAATTTTGTTTTTGAAACAGGTTAATTGGTAAATTGTTAAACAATATACTATTTTTTTTATAAATTAGTTTTTTATTTATATCAATATTTCGACTCCATTCTATAGTTATCTACAGGGTACTATTATGATGTTTTTATAATGTAGCAAAATTAATTTTAAATAATAAAATAAACTTTAATTTTAATTGGAATTTTGATAAAGCTAATGAACATATAACTTTAATACACATAACATTGAACAGATTCAACCAAATCAATCGATTTTTTTTCAGGCAATATATGAAGAGAATAGGTAATGCTCTGTTCAAACAACCAAATTTCCTTAATTTTGTTAAAATTAAATTAAATTAATTTGGAAAGTGTTTATACTAATACCATATGTATCTCCGAAATTATGATAGTTAATTATTATAACTATTAAAAAAGGCAATCAGTAGTTTTATTAGTTTTAGTGGATTTTAGGTAGTGCATTATTATTTTTCACTCTACTTTAATTAAATTAATACAAGTTACATGTTTTTTCTATATTCATATTTAAAAATTTGCACTACTTTTAAAATATTCATTTAGTTTTATTGAATTTATGACTAAAATTTATTTTAAAAAAATGTCCCTTTTTCGTTATCTCAACTTTATCATTTCCTTAAATTTTATTTTACGCGTAGTTGCATTTGATATTTCCCTTAATTTCAGCCTTCGTTTCAACGAAATTAAGGCCATCTTCCTTAATTTCATTCTTGAAACTGAATTTTTTATGGAAAAAATAACTTCATTTCGCTGAAACGAAAATAGAATTAAGATTTTTGCGAAATTAAAGTGTGTCTGAACATAATATTCGTTTCAACGAAATTAAACCATTTTCTTTTATTTCATTCTAACCTTAAAACTGAATTTCGTATCGAAAAAAACAACTTAATTTCGTTGAAACAAATGCGAAATTAAGATTTTCGCTAAATAAAGGTGTTAATACCGATATTAATACAGATAAAAAATTAAAAAATAAATTTAAATATTTAATTGAATATTATCAGGTACATCTTATTTTAATTAATAATTTAATATTAAAATGATTGATCGACCACATTCGGATAAAATTATAAAAAGTAATAATACAAAAAAAAATTAAAAAATAAATTCAGTCATTTGAATTTATTCAATAACGAAACAAAAATTTTAATTAACAGGTGATTTTTATTTTAAATAATGATTTTATATTTAAATGATTGATCTATTACATTCAGATAAAATATGAAGAGTAATAATACGAATAAAAAATTAAAAAATAAATTCAAATGACTCTTTATTCAATAACGAAAATTAAATTTATATCAACAGGTGGTTTTCATTTTAATTAATTATATTCAGATAAAATATTAAGAAAATAGCTAATTCGAATAGGTATTTATTCATTTTAAAAATAATTTTTGTTAGCAAATGGTTTTTATTTTAATTAATGATTTAATACTAAAATTATGTATATTTATATTAAATAAATTTATATGTAATATAATATATATTATGTAATATGAATATAGTACGTGAATAATTTTTTTAATAAGATTTGTATATAAAAACTTAAATTATAAATTATTACATATTTAATACTTAATATTTTTAGTGAAATCTTTTTTTGGTATATAAAGAGGTTTATAGCTTGGCAGCACTGTTCGGCTGTCAGTAATTGTTTAATAACAAATAAGCCGTGTGTAATGTATAAATATTGCAAGATTCTACAGCAAAGATTGTACAAATAACTTAATTCGAATACAAAATGAGACCTGAAGAGTATATAGATAAAGATGAGCTAAGCACTTGGGAGGATACTAAAATAAATGCATTGAAATTTCGTAATCAAATGGTGCGCTATATAATAAAATAAATGCACATAAATACTAATGTTTAAATATATTTAGATGACATATTCAGAATTTCAAAAACCTTGTCCATTGAGTTGCTTCAGTACATCAACTGAACGGGTTTATGTACCACGCGCGGACGAAATGCGCTATTATAAAAAACCAACGAAATTTCCAATGGATTTAAATGAGAACATAAGAAATGCTATACTAAAGCCGGAAAGTGCACACCATGAAGGCGTGCTTAACATGCTAAAACATATCGAAAACGAAATTACTGTAAAAGAAGAAAATCCATTGCTAAATATTGATTTTGTTTGTTGGCGCGGACTACTGACATTGATTATGAATACTCCGTATGAGAATAAAAGCGATTGGCATTTAAGAGTTACAAAATTTATGGGAACGTGTTATTTACGTAAAGTCGAAACGAAGCAAAAGAAAATGGAGCGTGATAGTATGACACAAAAACAATGTGATATGGCAAGTTGGGGTTTTAAATTTGAGCAATATTGTTTGGCAGGTATTAAAGCTAATAGTCATTTAGATAATATAATAATAATCAGAATGATAAGCATAAAAATACATATATTTAGAGACGCCTGAATCCGAACCTGATACAGTAAGTCCAGTAGATGAGTGTAGTGAATTTGCTATAGTATATCAAACCAAAATAGGAGGTTTCAATATGTTTTATGGTGCTGAAATGGATGGCGTTGATTCCAATAAAACCATAAATTTGTAAGTAATAGTATTTTTAATTTAATATCAATATACGATATAAAGACAAATAAAAATGATGATGCATGTTATATATGGGATTCACAAAATTGTGAATTGTGTGCTACCATTAAAACTACTTGTAACATTTGATGTCTTGACAATAAAGTGATGTATATAAATTGAATCATCACATCAGTTCGTAAGTATTTTCAAAATATTGCATATTATGCTCGTGTCACCACAGAAAGGCGCAGAACTAAAACATTTATTTCGAAAATCATATTCAGATGACACTAAACTATTTTAACTCTAATGACGCGAGTAATATGTACACTCATGCAAAAATTTTAAAAGGCTTGAGCTTCAGATATATAAGTTTCCAAACTTATACTTAAAAATCACGGTGCCTTAACATCGCAGAGTTGACCTATATATTCAATATTCGTCAATCTCGACGACCAAGTGCCGTTCAACAGACGGCTCATGGATTTTCCGTAGGCACTTATTAGAATTTGTTGTGTTAGATAAGTGGGTTATAAGGACTAATCAATTTGTTGGCTACAAGCAGAATCGTGGCGATAGTGGCGTGTTGAATGTATTAACGACACATCTCTATGATATTTCCTATTTAAGAGGGCCAACATACGAACAGATAGCATATTACTGATCATCTTCGTTATCTATTAGTGTTCTATACGGGAATACCGACAATATTGACTTTTTAAATATATTTGAACTGAATTCAAAGATTTTTTTTTTTTTTTTTCATTTTAATATTTCATACGTATTCTGCAATAATGCTGTAACATTTTACAATGATTTAATAAATAGAAGAGATTTCATGCATAATAATTTATAATTTAGGTATTTCTCCATGTGATGAGCTACTTTTTTTTTTTAAATAAAGATTTTCCAGAGTTCAGAGATGCGTAACAAATAAAAACCATAGTTTTGGTACTTCGATTTTAAGTACTTTGAATTAAGTTAACTAGTTAGATTGGATCAGATTGAAGTTGTGATCTTACACACTAAAGACCACTTGATCACTAATAATGACCTGTTGCTATCTGCTAGTATAAATATACATATATCTACTCTTTATATATCTCAGCAATTTGCTGACATCATGCAAGCTGCTGCTAAGTTCTTTTTGTGCTGAATTGTTTAATAAAAGATGAGAAGACCAACGATATATAGGTAAAGTATTTGTGTGTAATTTAGGCACGTTCCATAAAGAAGAAGTCTTGTGATAAGATAAGAAATACGTCTTGTGATAAGTTTACTCACAACTTATTGTAGCCATGTAAACTACAAGACTTCCAATTAAAAAGAGCATTATAAGCTTTGCCAAAGGTTTTACGTGGTTTTTAATCTCTGAGTTTTTCCTTATATGGTAACACTTCAACGTGAACTATAACTTCACTAATTGCTATAACTACTCAAGAGCGGTTATACTAAAAAGATAAATAAATTTTTTATGAATACAAAATACATATACAATGCAAAAAATAAAAGAATACATTTTTTTTGAACTAATAATTAATTTTTAATTTTTTTTTTGTGTCAGTGATGCACGCCCCAATAAAGAACAATTATCATCAATGAATTTTATTGAACTTAAAGTACGTAAAAAGGATTTAAGCTTTTACCAAAAACGCACATATAATTGCATCAAGACGCGTACATGGTGGTGTCAATCCTTTTTAGTTGGAGTTTCTAAAATCATTGTTGGCTTGCGGAACGATAATGGGCTTGTGGATAGCATTGAGGAGGTTGAAGTAAATTCACTAATTAAACAAGGTCAAGTAAGTAGAAATGATTTCTCATATCAGATATTACTCATGTAACATTTAAATTTTTTATTGCAGAATTATTGGAGTGGCAATAATTGCATTGAATTTTTAACATTTATGTTGAAATTCATTAAGGAAAAAACGAGTGATTTAAACTGTCCACACACTGTAGTGGATTTTTATTACAATTCTGATAATAGACATATTAGTTATAAAAAAACCGAGGGGAAGAGTCCCAGCTCATTTTTACCTGATTGGTATATAACTGCAGTAAAAAGCCAACATACGTTTTAAACACACACAGAGTGTTAAATTTTAATTATTATATTTTAAAGTTTACAGAGTATTTCTTAATTCAAAATACAAAACCCAAAAATATACGTTATAAACATGAAATTATTTAGTTACAAAAATTTTATTTTACACTTATTTCATCATTGAGAAAATCTTGCAGTACTTATGAACGAATTTTAAGTAATAATAAGTTTTAAGTGAGAATATGAAAGTACAAAACTATATATTTGGAAATGTATGCTGAAGTTAACGTTTGCTGCTACTACAAATGATTATTACTAATTTGTTATTACTTGTACAACAAAATACTTAGAGCTCGGTCTTCTTAGGATTACCGCTGCGATCATAACCAGTCAATTCTTTTGTAGCATGTTTGGCTATGTATTTAATGAAATCATTCACTTCACGCCCATCATTGTACGATACTGGCTTATCTTTGGCATCCTTTGCCAACCAGAATAGTGTTGGGAATCCACGTACATTGAATTCGGGTGGCACATCATTAGCTGTAGCATCCATTTTTACAATAGCTACATCTTCATCCTTCAATTTTTCAGCAAGCTCATCATAAATAGGTGTCAATTTTTTACAATGGCCACACCATGGAGCATAAAACTCTACCAATGTATCTTTACCATTATTAACGACAACGTCATCAAAGTTTCGTGCGACAGCTACTTTGACTGGTGTGTCATTGTTTTCTGGTATGGGTTCTGATTTTACGTATGGCTCTAATTCACCATTTAACAGTTTATCAGCAAAATCTTTTAAATTTTCTACAGAGAATTCCTCCTTCAAAGCGAATTTCATGTTCTTAATGTCACGTGCAAGTATAACTGGCTTGTCTCCTACAAAGTCATAACCATATTCATTCAATTCATGCTGGAAGTCATCCTTTGAACTGACTGCAAAGCCCAATTTTCCTATATATTCCTTGGCTACCTTCAATATACGATTACGCCAGTAGTTTGTTCCTTTTGGATTCTTAACGTAATCAACTGTGTAGTAAGCAGTAATAAGAGGATTTTGGAAATCGCGAGCATTATCTTGTGTACGATGACCAACGAGTCCATGGCTATAAAATTTATTTACATATTATAAACATATTAGTATTAATATTTGTTTTTTTTTTGTACTCACAAATTTTCCTTAACAAATGTGCTCAGAGATGACTCTGACAAGCTACCAGTGAAACGAATTTTGGATTCCTCGAATTTGTTCGTTAAATGTGGCGCGCGTATGAGCACAATAGCATCACTAACAAAAATGATGAAAATATAAATTAATGTGTATTACTTTTATTTAAAGAAACAAGTGCAATAAAAACACCATAAAAACTGCCTTAAGAAATATATTAAAATTGAGTGATTTTTGTTTTGTTTTTTTTTTTTCATGTTTGACTAGTCTTCGACTTACGTTTCGTCTTGCTGGCTCAATACATCAGCATTGCTTGAGTGTCCGAAACGGAATTTTTCCCTGTTTTTATCAGCATATTTAAGGAAGAGTTTGGCCAATTGAGAATCGGTATCTTCGAAGTAACCGAAAATAGTTGTCTCTTTGGCTTCTAGGAACTTTTTCAAATCTTCAACTGATTTTATTTCTCTCGAAGCTGGACCAACTTGAGCACGCATATATTTAGCAATGCCATTTGCTTCACGTGGTCCATTATAATCTTGGGAGACTTCATCGCCGCGGAATATTTTAAGTGTTGGGTAACCACTAACAGAGAACTTAGAACAAGTTTCTTTACCCGCCTCAGTACAGTCAACCTATGAAAAATAAACAAAAGAATAAATTATTTATTTATTTCTATTAAAACTGAAAGAAATCCAAATTATAAAATGTTATACTGACTAAACAGACAACAGCGTTTGCTTATTTTCTTACTAAGCTCTCTAATTGTGTCATTTTGCTTTTTTTTAGTTAAAGCCTGATAATATTTTTTTCTAAATCATGCCACTATTTTTTGTGCTCTTAGTTAATGAATACACAACTCACATCTGAGTAAAGTGAAGAGTAAGGAAGTTAACTATCCAAATAACTAACCAATACTGATCTCATTAAGTGGTGCTCAGAAACATTTTCTAATATTATTAGAACAGTAGAACCTTTTCTCCGCAATGTATGCGGTGATTCATTTCTTGACATCATGTGTACATCCACACCTATTCCAGTGAACGTAACATAAGTGAGATTGAACAGCACTACACACAGACACAGTTTCCTCCCCAGTACCACGATTGCATAGCAACAAAGTTCACCAAAGGCCTACAGTTATTATATCTAGGGAAGAGTTACACCCTTCTTGTACAACAAGAACGGTCCTAGCTCAATTGAGAAAGGGATAAAGTCATGTGATAAACAGTTTAAATTTCAATTTCAAATTTGGACACTAACTGCAGATCTACCCCCATAATCTTTTCATGTCTTAATCTACAGGTAGTTTGTATTTTAACCAATTTAACTTTATTAAGTTCTTATCCGAAGTCAAAAAAGTGAATGAATATCTTGAGTTTGATATATGATAAATACAATTAATTAAATAAGAATAGCCTACTATTCAATAATAATTATATATTTCCAAAATACTCTTGAATCTAATTTTCAAAACCACTAAAACAATATTTGACATGACATTGAATTTTTTTTATACTGGATCAAAACGAACAGGTCGTCTTCTCCTTGTAACCGACCGTCTGAATTTAACTGACAACTGGTCATTGTCTGTGGATCCATATCTGTCGTCGGTCTAAATTATTCCAATAGCTCGCATTCTCCGTCTTAACTCAGGTTAACTTTAGTTAAAACCCTGCGCATTTATAATCCACTTCTGCTCCTATACAATCCTTTACACTTTTTTTACCCAAACATATCATACACAAATCGTTACTACTATATATTTGCGTTATTATTTAAACGAAAAAAATCTGGTGTTATATGTGAATAAGTTTATTTATTTCATCAAGTTTTTTAAATTACGCGGAATAGTTGGTATTTGATAATCTGTTTCTACCAAATGAAAGCTCAAAACCGTAAAACCTGTTTTTTTTCTTATAGTGTTCCCAGAATGTATTTTATGAGTCACATATTTCATAAATTATTAACATTTTGGTAACCGGTGATACAGACACAAATTACAATTGAATTATAAAATTTGATTTCTTTCTACAAAAAATCAATATGACTTGACTTATCGTTAGGTATGCTTAGACTCTAAAATTTTGTAGGTTCAGAGTGAACACTAAAAATGACTTCAGAATAGATATTCAACTAAGAATCATTCTTGCCAACAGATGTTTTTCGGGCTAAATAGGCAATTAAAAACCAAAACCCTCTCTCGATATATAGAAATCATGCTTTAGAAGTCTCTAATCTGTCCTGTTGGATGATGTAGAAGCTTGGGCAATAATCAAAAATGATGAGAAAGCATTAGGAGTATTTGAGAGAAAAATTTTTTAGAAGATCAATGGTCCCTAACGCATTGGTAGCTAGCTAGTATCAAATTGAATAGAACGATTAGCTGTATAAGCTATATCGTGTCAATGGAAAAAAGTGTTTCATTCGGTACCCGCTAGTGAGCTTTGTTCGAAGGAACACGTCAACAACAAATAGGCTATTGCACGACTCAAAAAAAAAAAAAATGATTCCGCATTTTGAACAAGTAAAAATAGGCTAAGTTTTAATCGCTTATGTCTCTGGATATCCAAAAATGTTTTTTTTTTTGTTTTCTCTTTCTATCGATAGTCTGGTCTATAGACAAAGTTACTGGTTTTCTTTCTGAACACTATTATTTTTATATCGGCAAATTCATTGCTCAACTGATAAACCTGATAAAACTGATAGCAAAACGGCGAAAAACCGCTAACTGAGGTACATGGAAGTTATCTGATGATCTACCACTGCAACCAACCAACTATATATTACTAATAACTTAAAAATCACATGTTTTATCTAGACTGAATAAGATATGTTCATAAAATGCAAACATAATATACTATATTATTTATTTTCGTTATCTTATATTTTTAGTTTCAATATACACACATATATTTTGTTATAGATATGTTCGCTTATTAAAAAACTATATGTGGCATATTAATCTAATATAAAACCGATGTTTCTTATTTATTTATACACTATATGCTTTTTTAAACAATATTCTAACTTAAGGTCAAGGCTACTAGGGCTGAAAAGCTTAATTAGTTACTTATAGCTATCGATTTTTTTAGGCAGATTAAAACTTATAAAAAAAAATATATAAAAGTAGTTCAAATCTCTGTCAAGTAACCAATTTCATTAAATTTATTTACGTGTAAATAATATATATATACCAAGCCTCTATTTATAAATTTATATTACATAAATTCTAAGAAATATTCATGAATAATTAAATACAAGAAATGTTTCCAAAAAAACTATAGATGCGTATTTGGCAATATTCGATACAACTGCGTGATCAACCAAAAATTTAATTAATCAAAATAATATAAAATTTTGTTGTTGTAATTCACTACTTTCTCGATACCTCTTTACCATAATATTTAATATAAATATTTATTTTATATATTAAAATATATATATATATATATTGTTTTTATTAGATATATTCTAATATAAAAATTGTTTCTTTTTTTAAATATATATAGTACAAAAAAGTAAATATAAAACAGTTCAGATCTCTGTTAAACAACTGATTTATACATGTGCATATAATAATATATATACAGAACTTATGAATTAAACCACCAAATATATTTTCAATGGATAGACCTATTCAAATTTTTAATATAGGTCAATATATATAACGTAAGGCAGGCCCGTGCTAGATTGACTATAGTTTTGTTAACCATTAATGTCTATAATATAATGTTAATTTCATTAATAGTAAAGAACTATATATATATACATGCAGTCATTTGATACATTTCAGCTTGAGGAACTAAAGACGCAGCCCCTTTTATCTTGGCTACATGTTTACTGCACATTTTAACATTCTACGCATCACTCATCCACATCCTAACCTAACGATTCGTCTTGTAAATCATTTCATGTTATCTGCTTTTAAATCCCAGCGGGTTACTATAACAACAACAATATACGCATGTACCTTTATAAAACCTTGTTCTTTTTCCCCAAGCCTATAAAATTATGCTGAATCTGAATAATTAAAGGTCATATGACAGATTGATCTCTGCCTTCCTAATAGTTTAAATCCTTTGTAGTTAAAATAGTAAGTATCCTAAATCTGTTACCAACAACATTATCATGCAGGAAGGATAATGTAATTTTACTGCTATATATGCAGTTTATATATAGTATAATTGCACCACAATAAGCTAATATAAAGATATAGTAAAATGTAGTAGTTTTTTCTTACCTTGGCTAAAGTGATTGGAGGATCATCATTTTTAACGAGTTCTGCGGCTTTGGCATATTCTGGTTTCAGTCTTTTGCAATGACCACACCTACAGAAAACAATTCAGAAGGAAAAAAAAAGATATATAAAAATATGTTCTGATATTAAAAATCTATGTTAGTATTATCTTATCAAATAACAAACCAAACAATAAAATTTATAAATTCAAAATAAAATAAATGTATATATGCATTTGTATTTATTTATGTATATATGTATGTATGTACATACTGAATTGATGTTCCATGTTAGTTAACAGCGTACAAAGCAATTAACTCAGAAAGTTGTGCTGACGTGTACATGTGATGTTCTTTTACAGAATCTGTACTTTCACACGCTTATCGCATTTTTGCTATTTAAATATGCTTACCATGGTGCGTAAAACATCACCAGCGTAGTCTCTTGAGATTTCAATGTTGATTCAAAATTGTCATCGCCTAACTCCAAAACATCTTGTTCAGCGGCAAGCGCTATTGCAACGCAAAATAATAAAACAAAAATGCGCAGCATTTTATTTGAAATAAATCAGACTAAAACGTTGCTCAAAAATAAATAATTAATGACTTTATCTGATTTATTTACAACCAAATACCAAGAAACAAATACGGCCGGCTTGTAGAATTGAACAACTTAATTGATTTTCTTGCCAGCTTATTTAACCTCACAATGCCTTATCGCGTTGAATGAGTGAAAGGTAAAAATTCTATACAGTTGGACTCTTTACGCCTTCTAGTTTATAGCGTACTTTGTTGTGAGTTTCTGATTGGTGCAAGTTTTCAAAAGTGATATACAATTTCTTTGTAGAAGAAAAGTAAAAACAATAATATCGTCTTGAATAAAACTGACAGCACAAATTTAAGATTTAAATAAGTTATGAAACGAAACTTCGTGTTTAAAAAAAAAAATTCGTAAAAAAATTTATAACAAATTGTATACTTGTACGCATACATTTGTATATTTTCATATGTTAAAAAATTAAACTAGTCTTTAGAATTTAGAATTAGTAATTTTATGTAAATAATATAATAATATGATTAGTTAAATATAATTAATTGAACACTTTTGCTCTCTATTAACTGCGAGGTTTCTTCATAACTCATCGTTTATTGTTTATTGCCTTACGTTTATTGTTGTTTACACATTATTATTAATTTGTTAATAATTTGTAAAAATATACAAAGACACATTTTCATGTATCTGAAATGTATACATAAGTATATACATATGTATATATATAAGAAAATATTTTATATTATCGTATACAATTCGAACGCAACTTAATCGCCAGAGTATAATGATAGCCCGCTTTACAAACAATAAATTATAAGCGTTAAACAAATAAATAAACAAATTGCATTCTTATGTATTATTAATGGCATTTATTCTAACATGTAATATTAATTGAAAAATGCAAATAAATGCTATACAATTATCGCATGTTAATTACAATAATGAAATTATTGTCATTGAAATGGAATATACTAATTGAATTTTGCAAAACTCTTACACTGAACATACTAAATGAAAATATTAAACAGACCTTATATGGCGTTTACATTGGCCGAAAATGGCTCATTTTGAATCATTTTAAGCCATTTGAAAGTGTTTACACTTTCGTTAGTTCTCATTTCAAACAGCTGATTTTTCAACTTGCCTGTTGATTTAATTTTTGGACTGTGCCAAAAAAATGTTGCATGAATGTTAAATATACCTTCAAACCTTAAAATATATACTGAAAACATATTTTTAAATTCTACGGCATTTTTACTGGCCGAAAATGGCTCAATTTGGTCAAAAATCGATAATTAGAAGGGAATGGCTAATTCGCGCTTAAAATTTTGTATTCATGAATGGGAAGTAGAAATTCTAAAAAGGTGCATCGTTTTCAAGAAAATGCAACCACCAAATATTTGTTTACATTTTTTTATAAATATGTCAAAAACTTTCTCTAACTGTCAAAATGCCATGAAGAACTTTTATTTAGAGTATGTTCAATGTTTTCTTTTTGTGTTTGGAACATATTTGGAACGCATTCGAACGTCGTTGGGACGCATACATACAGAATGTGATGAAATGGAATGCATTCGCGCTTGAAATTTTGTATGCAAGAATGAGCCATTCGCTTCTCATTTACGATTTTTGACCAAAATGAGCCATTTTCGGTTAGTGTAAATGCCGTATTAATAATATCAAATGCTTATTTTTAATATTTATTATATTTATTTCCGTTCTGCATCGATTGAATAAGTAGCAATTAGAAAAAGAAAATTATTGCAAATAAAAAAATAACTTTTATTTTTAATCTATATTTATACCATTTCATTTTCCATTTTTTCGACTAAATATCTTTTTAAAATTTCGTTTTCAAACAAAATAAGTTGTTTCAATTTAATCATCAATTTTATTTAAATTTATTAACAAGTTTAATATTTCGACCATTTTCAATGGTCATCTTTAGGATATAGTTAGGTTGGGTTATACCAGCATCCCTAAGGGATCCATTTAGGCCTATTGGCCATTGTGTTACCGTATATATAGGAATAACTCAGGGTTTTCAGGATATAATAGTTAAAAAAAAACTGAAATAAAATAACTTTTTGGTCATTAACAAACAAATGTTGGAAAATTAATTTCTTATGATATGAAAATAAAATTCTTATAATTCCACTACTGAAAACACAATCAGCGCTATATATTAGTTGGCAGAAGCAATGACATTACTGTTCTTTTGTCACTACTGTTATTTTTCTCATGTCGCATTTAGGCAGTTTTGCTCATTAAATCCGCTAATAAGGATAATTTACCATACAAGAGGTGTTATAAAAATGTACTTTTTATAAATAAATCAACAGATTTTAGGCGAAAAATGTTAAATGTAACGCTTAAAAATAAATTTCCTCGAAGGAAAATTAACAATATTTAAAACATTCGTTATATGTTTTAAATATAACGGACAAATCTTGGTTTCAGTAATATAAGTAGTTTTAGTTATAGTAGAAATATGATACAAATTGCTCATTCAGCTAAGTTTGTTAAACATTTGCACACGGCACATTTTATTTTTATCTGATAATTTCTTAAATTTTGGTTTTAGTAGTTGTATTCATAAATGAAATGAACAATATTACAGAAAGATTATATTTCTCTGTGTTTTACTTCCTGATAAGCATTTACAATATCGCCACAAAAATTTACAATTGTGAGAATTACGAAATTAACTTCAAGTTGATTTTGTATACATTAAAATACAATACTAATTTTAAATAGTAATTTAATATTTATGTAAATAGAAACGAATTGGAAACATAGGACGTGTGCGAGTTAGGCTAAGTTGATGCTAAACGAAATGGGAGATTTTTTGGGATTTTTTGCACTGCACACATTTTGCCATTTATCAACACGTATCGACACATCAATACATTATCGACACAACTTAGAATTTCCCTCATTTAGAACGCAACTTAGCCTAACTCGCACACGACCATAATATAGCTGGGATAACAAGCGGTTCGTGCAATATTACAATCTAAATTAAAAATACTAATTTCTACATTTATAAATGTAGACAATTTAACAAATAATTCAAAAACATCATTAAACAAATTGCACTTTATGCCGTGTGCGAGTTCGAGTAAATTGATGGTAAATTGAGAGAAATAGTAAATTATGTCGACGAATGTTGGTATTTACCAGAATTTCGAGTCGGATAAATTAGATAAAAATTAGGTAAATTAGATGTTACCATTGTAGAAATTTTATAAGATGTTTAATAAATAAATAAATAAATTTGAAAACTTTTAACCAAATATAATAAATAAGTGCAAAAATAAATGTTTACATAAGTGCAGTGCAAAAAATCCCTAAAATATTTCAATTAACTTTACCCCAATTTATTCTAACTCGCACACGGCCTTAATAAAAATTTTAGTTGTCCTATTAGTTGATATCGAGTTTCATATCTTAATAACAACATAAATCATTTTATTCATATGAAAAAATTATTTACATGTGACCTAGCCTTAATTTGAGCAAAAACTTTTAACGAACAGAACTACATTACTTTCAAAATTTGTTTATGCTAAGTGGCATATCAACAGGAGATTGCGGCTAGTTTTTTTATTGGGTTAACTATTTTCATATAAAATAGAATGTTGCAATTAAAACATATAACATCACTAAATCTAGATGGATACACTGTGGTTCTGCCAGCAATTTGTGTTGGGAACGCCGCACAGCTGGCTTGTGACCTCATAATATCATCAAAAAGCTTGAAACGAGTTGGAAACATAGTTCACCCAGCACTGATTCCTTTATATGGGCCCTCTGCTTATCAGCATGAACCAGAAGAGAAGGCAGCTGCATGTGAAGTGTATGAAGGAGCAGAAGACAAATTGTTAGTTATACAATTTCGTTCCCCACTTATATCAAAACATTCACAAAGTTTTCACAATGAGTTGGCAGATTTGTTACAAAAATTACAACCAAAACGAATTATTATTTTGAGTGGAAGTTTCGGTTTTGAGAAACGTATAATTGGTGGTTCATCGTATGGATATCGAGCTTCTGAAGCTTTTAAAGAAGCGCATGCAGCACAATTTAAAGTAGTTGGGTGGAATGAGTTTACCGGTGATGTGGTTTACGGCGGAGGAAATTGTATAAAACTATACAAACTGTTAGAAGAGCGTAGTGTTCCTGTTATGGTGTTATTTAGATATTTGCTTGATGGAGATGCTTCTATGCAGGCAACAGTAATATTGCGTGAATTAAATCTTATATGCAAAGACTTCTTACAAATAAGCGGTAAAGACGATGAATTGAAGCTTGTTGTGCCAGTTTCATGGAAACTGCTTTTTGGCAATGAATTTGCCGAAATATGTTAACAATTTTTAATATTGTTTAAAGTATAAATTGTAAATAAAATTTGTGGTTGGAGCTTTGAAAAAATTGGTTTTTAATATATTTAGTATATTGTTTTTGCGGGTAATATAAAATCGAAGACATTTTAGAGAAGAACAAGAAATTCTGTAATCAAATGAGAAAAATGTATTTTATACTGTATTTATAAATATTTATTCATTCAATAAGAACTTAGAAAACAACATTGATTCGAATTGAAAAGTTCGATAAGTTTTTTGAAATCGATAAATTTGCGATCATCTGTCCTTGCAGTGTGACCAAATCTACTTGATATACAAAGAAAAGCACTCAACGATGCTATTCGCAACTTCCTAAACTAACGTAAGAGCTGTAAAATTAATTTTTACTGAAAATTTATTTAGCATAAATTTTTTTATTTATGTCTAATCGATTTTAATTATTTTTAGGTATTTGTTTTTTGCCTGGTTTAGATAGATTTGTTTTTGTTATGTTTTATATTTCACTTTTATATTGCACATTCACACTGTCCCATTTAGACGTTTTTGCTCATTATAATCACGAACAATGAAATAACAAAAAAATGAAAAGCAATTGGATTTTTAATATGATTTATTGTTATATTTTCTTTTCATTTAGAGATAAACTTTTTATAGTATATATTTATAAAATTTTTTGTCACTTTTTGTTCAGTCTAATATTTTTTGAAACTGATTGTTAATATTAAAACTATCGTGTTTATATGCGTTTAATAAGAAATCTTAAAGTTTAATATTGATTTTTTAATAGTTAAATATATAAGGTTTCTTTTGTAAAATCGGCCTGCTGGTCTTATTGTTAAAAAAAGGAAATTAAAAACATTTAATATTTTATTATTTCACATCCAACAGTTCGCTAGTTATCTGTTAGCTTTTCATGTGGTTTTAATTTTTTTATTTAAACCTATATATCTAAGTAGCACAAATAAAACAGAATAAAAAATCAGTTTTCAAATTAGTAATTGAAATGGTAATTTATATTTATGTATTGTAAATATAATTAAAAACAATATTTGTTAATAAAATATAACATGTTTACCTAACCTGTTAATAATTGACTGATGGCAACTAAATTAGTTAACAAATATACGTTTTTAAGTAAATATTTAAAATCAAATTAAAAATTTGAACACCAAGTAAATTTTTTTTTAAATTTTATTTTATATTATATTTTACATATTCTTTTTATTTATATAAATATTACATTATTTCATTGTTGAAACAAAATTAAATTAATATAACTAAGTTCATAAAAAACTTCTTTAATAGTTTAGAATGTTGAATTATATATATACAAATAGTACCACAGGTTAAAATAATTAAAATACCTTAAAATATTTTAAGATAATCAAACTGAATTCATATTTTATATATAGTAAAAGTATTATCCCATAGTTGTAAGTTTTATATATATAATATAATTGTTATAAGTTTCTATGTAATACAACAAATTTAAAATGAATATAAAGCTAAAAAATACTAGTACTATAAAAAAAATTGAAAAAATACTAGATCAAGTACTTGAATTTATATTAATTTTAAATGTTAATATGTAATATTAATATATAGTCATATTTTGATTTCCTAAATATGACCATCAAAAATGATAAAATATTTAACTTATTATAAATTTAAATAAATTTATGATAAAAAAATATAATGTGTTTTATTTCAAATAATTATAAAATTGACTTAATAATCCAAAAAAAAAATTTTAAATATATCGAAAAAATTAATTTACACAGTAAAAATTTTATGACACTTCTATTGTATATCCATAAGTAATACTGAATTTTTTATAGATTGTATTGCATGTTGTATTTAAAAAAAAAAACCAAAAAAAAAAATTAAACACTTTTTTTTTTATCATCATCATTTTATCATTTTATATTAATAACACATTTTGAAAGTTAAGATTTTAGTTTTTAAGATTTGCTTAAATATAATATTTATTATAATAAAAATATGATATAATAAAAACATATACTCCACTTGACGTTTTTGACATTAGTAATTTCTCATTTTTTTTATATGTTTTCATTGAATCACTTTTATTTAAAGCCGAATAATAATAACTAATAACAATAAGCTATAAATAACTTTATATATACATACGTACATACAACAATATATTATAAAATGATTTATAAATTATTTTAAAAAGCCTCTAATAAGTAGCCAGGACTTGTTTCCCATTAGCTATATATTAATTTGTTTAATAATAATTTCTGTAATATTACTATATATATTTATTTATATATTTATTTTAACAAATTTATTTATTTATTTATTACCTATATTTAAAAAATTTTTAATATTTTTAATTGGACTCTCATGTAAAATAATGAATAATATTATTGCAGTTTAAAATTGAATTATTTTCCTAATTACTTATTAGTAAAATTTCGTTATATTATAAAATAAATAATTACACAACATATTGTAATTTATGCATAAAGTACATATCTACGTATTTTTTCTAATCTAATTACGTCAAAATTCAGTAGTGCCATTGTTAAGTATTTCGATAAATTATCAATTCTCATGCATGGAATACGGATATGCGTTGCCAATATTACTTCCAATGGCACCATATGCAACAAACGAGCTATAGAGCGGCCGAAGCAAACTATTCTCGTTCACTTTGTTAAGGTCTGTTGCCGGATAAGCAAGCCTCTGTGATTTCTCGTTTCAATTTATTTGTAAAGTAAGTTTTTTTTTTATTTGTTGGAGATAAAGTGAAGTGAATACAATTTTAAATTAGAAAAAATGTGCATAGGAAATTTGAGTGCATTATTCTTATCAGTAAATAAATAAACTCTTCATTTATTGTGTATTTAAAATAATTATGTGATTTCAATTTTTCTGGAATTAAATGCTGCTGCTGTGTGCACCATTTTAATTAACCGTGTCTTGTGAAAATATACACGTGGCTTAAATATAAATAGCTTATATTTCTTTAAATACAGAAATCGTTATATTTTTCTCCATATTCTTTTTAATGTTAATTAAAATAAAGTTGATTGAATTTTTTTAAAGAATATGCTTGCAAGCTGTTGTACAATTTGTTAATTAACTAAGCATATGTGGGCGGCCACGCCCATATTGGAAACTTAGTGTTTTCTAATTGTGTTACTAAATATTAAAGAAATAAGCAAATTCGATTTATTTATTCCATAAAGTTCTTATAAGAACAAATATTAAAAAAGCCGCACAACGTGGTTTGCACTAAAATGTGTATTCGTGCTCTTAAGTTTCAAAATGGCGGCCAGCAGTGCGGCGATTTCATACATAATTATTAACATGAAATAAGTTAAAAAAAAAAGCGATTGCTTTTGTTTCTTATAGCAGATAAAAGAAAATATGTGCTAAATGTATTTTATTTCACGCTATAATTTCCTTGACCTTTTATACGGTCAAAAAAATTTCTAAGTTAAAATATTTTAAAATGGCCGAATTTAATCGTGAAAATGTATTTGCTGACGCTGTCATCGTCCCGTATCGTCACATTTTCTATCTTCTTTTACACCACCTTTCTCTTTTTTCGTTTTTTTTTTTTGGAATGGTGCTGCTGACTTGTATTTTTTTCTTTTACTTTTTTGCGATTTGCTAAATTTGCGAAATAGCAACAATGTATAGAGGAAGTGGGCACAATGAAGATAATGCATGAAAAGAATATGTGAGAAGTACATTCTGGAATTTTCTATGCACATTTTTTTTTTTTATAAAGATTAATTAACGGCATTTGCATTGGCATTACTACAAATTATATTTGATACTATTTCGATTTAAATGATGATTATTTAACCAGTTCTGCTACTGAATTAAATTGACGACAACCAAATACCAAACCACTGAGTAAATCGAATAAAGTCAATGTTAAATGCAAAGCCGTTTTAGGTTTAATATTGATACAATTTGCAAAAACTAAATAAGAAAGAATTAATTTTTATTTTCTTTGCATGTCTTTTTTTTAATCCACATACAAAGATTACCTTTAGTTTCCATTGTTCAGAGTTAATTGCGGTGTGACTAACCTCAAAGTGTAAAGAATGTGCATACACACACATACAAAAACACGTTTTCCACCTTTGAGGTTAGGACACATAGTTGAAACACCTTAGTAGGCAATTCGAAAGTTTGAAGAAAACTGCAAAATGTTGAGATTGTAGTCTGTCTGCATTAATGGTTTAATTATCATTTTATTTTTTTATGATTTGATTGTTTGCAAATTGTTCACTAATATAACCTACCTTATTAAGCTTAACTTATGTTTACCTTGCTCTAATATAACTTATCCACCTGTAAGTTGCTAACAATATTTGTTTTTTTTTTCCTCCCTTTTTTCTTTACCTCTCCTTTCATGTACACACCACCACCAACACACATTACATAAATGCAGCTCAACACTTCGTCATGGGCAAGGAAAAGGTTCATATTAATATTGTCGTCATTGGACACGTCGATTCTGGCAAGTCCACCACCACTGGTCATTTGATCTACAAATGCGGTGGTATTGACAAACGTACCATTGAAAAATTCGAGAAGGAAGCCCAAGAAATGGGTAAAGGTTCTTTCAAATATGCCTGGGTTTTGGATAAATTGAAGGCCGAACGTGAGCGTGGTATCACCATTGATATCGCCTTGTGGAAATTCGAAACATCGAAATACTATGTCACCATTATTGACGCCCCTGGCCATAGAGATTTCATCAAGAACATGATCACTGGCACATCTCAGGCCGATTGCGCTGTATTGATTGTTGCTGCTGGTACCGGTGAATTCGAAGCTGGTATCTCAAAGAACGGTCAAACTCGTGAACACGCTTTGCTTGCTTTCACTTTGGGTGTAAAACAATTGATTGTTGGTGTCAACAAAATGGATTCATCTGAACCACCATACAGTGAGAATCGTTTTGAAGAAATCAAGAAGGAAGTATCCTCTTACATTAAGAAGATTGGTTACAATCCAGCTGCTGTTGCTTTCGTACCCATCTCTGGTTGGCACGGTGACAACATGTTGGAACCATCCACCAAAATGCCATGGTTCAAGGGATGGAAGGTTGAACGTAAAGAAGGTAATGCTGAAGGCAAAACCCTCATCGATGCTTTGGATGCCATCTTACCACCAAGCCGTCCAACTGAAAAACCCCTCCGTCTCCCACTTCAAGATGTTTACAAAATTGGCGGTATTGGTACAGTACCAGTCGGTCGTGTCGAAACTGGTGTTTTGAAACCAGGTTGCGTTGTTGTCTTTGCTCCAGCTAATATCACCACTGAAGTTAAATCCGTTGAAATGCATCACGAAGCTCTTACCGAAGCCGTTCCCGGTGATAACGTTGGTTTCAACGTAAAGAACGTATCCGTTAAGGAATTGCGTCGTGGTTATGTTGCTGGTGATTCCAAGAACAACCCACCCAAAGGTGCTGCTGATTTCACCGCTCAAGTTATTGTATTGAACCATCCCGGTCAAATTGCTAACGGTTATACTCCAGTTTTGGATTGTCACACCGCTCACATTGCTTGTAAATTCGCTGAAATCAAGGAGAAAGTTGATCGTCGTTCTGGTAAGACCACCGAAGAAAATCCAAAATCAATCAAATCCGGTGATGCCGCTATTGTCAACTTGGTACCATCCAAACCATTGTGCGTTGAATCTTTCCAAGAATTCCCTCCATTGGGTCGTTTCGCTGTACGTGACATGAGACAAACTGTTGCTGTCGGTGTCATCAAGAGTGTCAACTTCAAGGATGCCTCCGGTGGTAAGGTTACCAAAGCCGCTGAAAAGGCCACTAAGGGCAAAAAGTAGCTGATTTCCTATAATCAACTTTTAAATCAAATACAAAATATAAAAGAACAGTACATCAATTCCAATCAACAACAACAACAAGAACAACAACAGCAGTTTAAACAACAAGAGCACAATATAAGTAGCAGCAGCAGTAAAAGTAAGATGTTCCAACAAAAATTAATATTAATGATTAAAGAAAAATTTAATTGCTTTCACCGGAAAGAGTTTCGAAGGAAACGAATGTAATTCTCATTAGCTGTCTGAAGAAAAGCCAAAAGCCGATTGTTTAAATTCCTATCTATATATAGTCGTGATGCTAAGGCATGTCTGCGACTTCCATTGGCCAATATGAGAAACGAAGACAGAAACGGATCATCTTTTATATGTAATAAGCACAAAAGAGCATTTTATATTTTTTACTTTAAATTTAATTATAATTTTGTTGGAATTCATTCCATCATATTAATAACTGTAGCGTTACTTTTATATTAATTATGCAAATACTACATAAAACAATATATAAAGAAAAACAACTATTTAAAATAAATTATTTTTTTTATTCATTTTGTAAAAAATAAATTGGATTTGTTGCTTCTCAATTTAAAGATATTTTGTTTATGCTTAGGTTTAATTTAATTAAATTTTAAATTTGTTTGTTATTACTTCAGTTTTTTGTCCAACACACGCTTGTGTTTTGCTAGTTTATGGTTTCTTCCTGGGTTGAGTTTAGTTTTTTTTTTGTCTTGGTAAAGTTTTGATTTTTTTCCTTAGAGTTCAATTTTTTTTCCTTGTTTTTTATTATTTATTTGTTTTTGTGATTATTTTGTGTTTGTGCCACTCTACACTAATCACTATTCACCACCAACCATCGAATTATTAAACAGTAACTAAAAGTACAAAAGTTCTTTTTAACACAAAAGACGAATACGACGACACACGCACACGTACAAAAGCTTTTGTGCGAATTGAATTTTGTTTACAACAACAAGAATACCGTAACAAATATTCCTCCGCTAACGAACACAGCCAAATTTGCATTTGTAACCAAAAGAAGAAAAAAAATAAATACCTAAAATCGATAATTAAATAAAGATCCGATTGGGAAAAATGATAACATTGGCGTTTATATACATATATTTGTTTTTGTTTTTTTTTTTACAATTGTTTTAATTTCCGCTGTAGCAGCGGGAGGGGAGTTCGATGTCCGTTGTTTGTTGCTAAGCGCTTAACATTCTGTGCTTGTTCAGGTTATTTATAGCAGCAGACATGGATTTGAGATTTGAGACGGTGAGAAAAACTTGTTGAATGCACTCAAACGTGTTATCATCTGTCTTTTTTTTTGTGGTTTTCTTTTATACCAAATTTTGCAGGGTTTTATTGCATTTTTCTTTGTCTTTTTCATGCATGTGAGATTTTATTTGTTGTTGGCATTTCACACGTGAGTATTTTTTTACGTGGAAACAATGGACGCAACTACGAAGTGTTAAAGTGGAAATGAATTAATATTCAGTAAAATTATTTATTTAGTTTTCATTAATTAGCAGTAATTAGTAAAAGATTTTTAGTAACAAATGATTTAAAATAAATGATTATAGTAACTATCAAAATAAGAAGGGGGAACATTGATTGGTCTGTCTTGGCGTTAATGAAGAATCACTTGGATATGTGAAGTCAATGGGGAAATAATGGAGAAATAAAAACCTTATAAAATTTATATTATTTAAAAAATTTATGCCAAATAAAATCAGAAAAAAATTAGTTTATTTTATAATAAAAAGTCGCTGTTTATTCTTATTTTCAAGATAAAAATTGGGCGATGAATAGTTTTTGTTGATTGTTGGTAATCTCCAATGGTGAGTATGGTATGTCATGTGACAATGTCAAAAAAATTAGTTATTACAAATTTATAAACAATTAGATATGTATATCAAAATAATTTCCTACGTATCTGTAGAATTAGTTCAGTCGATTTAATTTGTATTATTTAATTAATATAAAGTTAGTATCAAAAACGTATTAATACTAAATTCAGTAGCGGCGCTAGGCGTCGGCACCTACCGGCAACCTCGCAAAAACTAACATACTAACGATTCAATTATTATTATTGAAAAAAAAGGCATTGTGTTCGACATAAAAGATGTATTGGTCCCTTTATCCGGATTAGATTGTTTCTCCAAGTCCGATTTCTTTAATGAAAGACAGTATAGAGCCTATCGTTCCTAGTCTTGGATCCTTATGAAACATAAAACACACTCCTAGGTGTTTCTTTCGCTTGTGCATCAGTGCCGGGCACTCCCCAAGCACATGGTATGTAGTTTCTCTCTCTTTTCTTCAGTATCTGCAGTCATGAGTTGGATTGAATTCCTAATTTCGATAGGTGATTGTTTAATCTACAGTGACCGGTCAATAATCTCGCAATAATTTTTATCAATTCAAAGCACTTAATAAATAATATTTTGAACAATTTGTTTGTATATACGACAATCATATGAAAAATATACCAAACGAAGATCTTCTGAAGCTTTGTAATGGTTTAGGTATAATTCGGTCTATTAAACTGTATGAGGAATTGCTGTTTTTAAAATCGAACTCACTAGACTTAATAAACAATATAGAACAACTAGTCCGGTATATTAGATAAAACAATTTAAAGGAAGTATATCCTTTAATGTTTATATAGTAATCAGAATCGTGTTCACAGTTCCAGTCAGTATAGCTTCTACTGAAAGAAGCTTCTCAAAGTTAAAATTGATTAAGACCTAATTGAGAAGTATGATGAGTCAAGAGATACTATTTCAATTGGCAATTCTATCAATTAGCGAAAATGGCAACTAGTACAAATCATGATACAATTTTAAAAAAATTTTGTGAGACTGAGTAGTAAAATTCAATCATTTTAAGTTGTGTTTATTTTAATTTGATTAGCAATAAAACTTTCATATATTCTTCGTTATATTAGTGAATGTAAATTATTTACTTTTATAACTCGCTAATAAAAGGAGCCTCGTAATTCTGAAGTCGCCCACTTTCAGAGTTGCTTTAACTCCGGCACTGACTAAATTAGATACATTGTTGTAAACTGTTTTAAGGGTTATTATAATTAATTTGTTAAACAAATTAAATTTGTTGTTATTTATTTTGTTTTGGTATTAGAGAATTTTTTGATAGTTTTTGTATACTTCGCTTTAGCCCAGCTGCACATTTCCGATAAAAAACCTGGGGTCGCTAAGGTTTTATTCTAGAAATAAAATTTTAAAATAATTATACAATTAATAGAACTTACAAATTATTATGCAAATTATAGAATAATCAAATTATTATACAAATTGTAGAATTTGCAAACTATTATGTCTTATCGTGTTTCCGATTGTAGTCTATTTTCTAATCCTATCAGGCGGTCTTAATAATAGATTTGAAATTACTATGCTCTATATACATATGTATGTCATATCGCAACAGACCTTTATTTATACTGAAGTGGGTGAAGAATTTCGATTTTTTTCCATTTTTAAACTAAATATACTCATTTTTTAATATGATTTTTTGCCATTCCTATTGTCTTTGGTCTCATTCGTATGCAATACCGTAATAACCACGTGTATAAAAAGTTTATAAGTATTAATGACTGCTACAAATAGTGATATGTATAAAATAGAATATAAAATGTACGGCGTACAACCTCTTAGTGGTGCAAGCATTTCGACCATAGCTGGTTTTTTGTACTTTCGAAGCAGGAGATATTACGCAATTTGAATAAAGTCAGAATTTCAGATGTTGAGGACATACTAACATCAGTTGATGATAGGATCATCCGACTTAATAATGTTTTACCAATCCAGATCAAAGTTGAAGAGTCACAGAGAATGTGACTAGAGAGACCTGATCAGTTTTTAATAGTATTTTCGATTGGTTAACTTGGATTCAATCTAGATTTACATTTGATCTGCCAAATTATGTTGTTTAATTAAAGATTTTTACAGTAATCTAACATTACATAAATACATAGTATGTATTACATACATACATATATCGAATGAAATCAGATTTTATTTGTCAAGTCATTAAAACAGCTGTTAATTTCAAGGTAATCATGCTACTCTGGCAAAATATTTAGAGTGTTATTAATTAATATCGAGTGTTATAAATTTGTTAAGATGATAATGCAGGTTATGGAGACCTCTCAGATAACTTACCAACAAGATTAGTTCTGCTCAACTGAGAGACGCGGCAGTAGCGACCTTGTCGTTTGGTAGCCCTGTCCACCACATTGCCATTAATTCTAGTATTCTATTGATGGCAATTTTTTGTGTGGTAATAATTTTTAATCATAGGAATAATTATTTAGATAGCTATTATTCTTGGGTTTATTCTGATAATGAGACAGTAATAATAATATTCTAATAATAAATAAATGATAATAATCCAAGCAAATCTTTTATATGTGGATAACATTGCGTAGAATTAAAATGATAATTACTATATATCAATTATATTATATGATATAACCCATTGACAAAAAGCATTCAGATCGATGTTAAGCCAGTAGAATGTATTTTGTTTGCTTAGGAATATTTTTGCGTTCTGTTTAAGTCGCAGTTCTTCGTTTTGTAAGTGAATATCTGACCCTATTTTAGTATTGTACTATGGTTATATTATATCATCAAAGGTAAGGAAATGTGAAGAGGAAGGACTAAATATCATCATATCTGACATTTGCTCACCTAAATTTAACTTCTACCAAAAGTTCGGTCAAAAACCAGAGCTAGGGAACTACTAATGCTGAATCTGACTTGTCACAGGGTTTATCACTAGACATCGCGGAGTCAAAAAAATATCTATCGAAACTAGGTATTACAAGGAACAATAGCTACAGAGTTTGTTACGAAGAAGAGAAAACGGCAGAACACATTCTATGTCACTGTGATCGACTGTGAGGCTTTGATACTTATTAACTGCCCATCGACTTATAGTGGAATTAGGCAATGGGTTTGTCACAATAATTCTCAAAGCATGCAGTGACGTGGTGACATGGTTTCCAACCCTTTCATGTACTATGGTTTACAATAATTCATTCAAAAATAATTACCGGGAGAGGGGAAAATTTTTACTTTTAATAATAATATACATATATTATTGTCCCTTTAAATATTGTTTCTTTATTTATTTGCACTTATCCTAATATATTTATTTCTTAATTTAAAAACATTTATTACATAATATAAACATTCAACGGTTTACCAAAATTAATTAGCAACAAATGGTTAGTTTCTGTTTCACAAGAAACTGAAATGCATATGACTCACAATAATAATATTAAAATTGATTACAAATATATATAGCATGACATAATTCGAAAAAAGTTGAATGAAAATAGGTCTTCCGTGCAATATTTGTAATGAAATGATAAAAATATACAATTCTTCGGATAAAATCGTTAAACAATATATTTTTGCACATGGAAATTCTTAAGAACAATTTTAATACAATTTATATTAAACATTCCTTGGATTGATATTGGGGTTATAGTGAACGCTTTTACTATCATCATATGATTTTGGCATTTCTTGAGGGGCTACTAATTCCAGTTCACAACCCTTCGGTGAATAGGGGTGTATTCTACGTAATTCCATTTGAGTCAAACTGTCCAACACCCAAAAATATGTCACGTGAATTTTATTTTCTTTGTTGCTCTTCTTGTCGCACACAATGTATTTTGCTTGCTTTCGATGTTGGACGACTCTGCCGCCTCCTAACTCAATTAACTCTTCCAAATCATCTTTAGATATATTATGACATTCCGATGACACAAAAAATGGTTCCAGTTCTGAAAACAGTTCGCTTCTATACTTTTTACCAAATGCTTGTCGTTCTGCACGACAGATCTGAAAATATATAATATACACTCGTTTAAATAGGTTATATATGTGTAAGTCATATAATACATATGTCTAAATATGCCTATATTTTAGGTAGTACTAAATTGGCTGTATACAAGTACGTACCCATGCCAATTAAATACAGTTCTCCTTTCGGATTAGTAAAATTTGGATCAATTTAAAAAAAGAAATAGTAAAATAAAAATAATTAATAATAATATTGAAAGGGGAGGGGATTGTTTGAGAATAAGAGTGATTTATGGATGGGTGGGATTTTTATTGAAGTTTATTTTGGTCAATCTAAGTCAATCATTGTTTGAAAATAAAGGTGATTTATGGTTGGGTGGGCTTTTTACGAAACTTCGTTTTGGTCCATCTAAGTTAATGATTTTTTTTAATGATACTCGTATGATATAGAAAAATATGTGTAACAAAGAAAATTATTTGCGTTAATACTTTGCCTAAGCTTTTATACTCCTAAGTTTAGGTTTAAAAGTCGTATATCTATGTTTTCATCAATACATACACTCGAAAACGATTATTGCCCTTTGTGGTTTACTACCCTTAATACAGTTGTATTATAAATCAACCAATGGCGAATCTGCTGGGTAATATTTACCTACGGGATCTTTAAAATCTTGTTTGGAATATTATTAAAACCAGTAAGAATGCTAAGAAATGCTTAGCATTCGCCCCGTTAGTCGAATGCTAAGAAGGCAAAAGCAGTCTTTATCATCAAGAAAAGAAATCAAACATTTCAAAAAGACTAATTGCCAATGACAAGTCTATGGAATGGGAAGACAAAGTAAATTATCTAGGTCTAACGTTAAACAAAAAACTGAAATGGAAGGAGCATATAAGTGAAAAGTATATATTATATAACGTAACGTGACCTTCGCGTCAGTTTTCTTACATAGTAAACTGAGCACTAAATATAAAGTACTGATCTATGTATATATACGCGTTTGAAAATTCATTACACACAACATTAATTACTTTTAGACGTATCAATATCAGGTGTATGATGTCAGAAATAATGACATTCACAGAGAATAGAACACATGCAATAATATATATAGAATAAAGGTATGAAACTACATATTTGCTGAAATAAACTTCTTAGGAAAGAAGATATCTTTTGCCCACTTATAAAATCTTATTATATAAACCTAAAAACAACAATAGTATAAAATAATACTACTACAGATATTTTAACGACCCCAGTGGTACTTCAGCAGAAATCAGACAAAAAACGGAATAAAAGTGCTGTTTGGCACTATATCCGCATAGGCACGCTGGGAGTGTTTGGACTAGGAGTCCTTTCACTATTGTATTTTATAATAGGTTACAAGTTTTATAATGTGTCGGTATTGTACAATCTACTGAAGTTAGAAGTATTTAGTTAAAAAAGTACCTTAATAGCTCTTGAAAATTCGTGTATTTCAAATGGTTCCTCGTACAGCCATTTACCAGCATTTAATGATTCATTTATCCAATCATATTTCAGTATCCAAAGGCCACGCACCAATCCACGCAACAGATTCAATGTACGTTTCGGGTCTGTCGTTATAATGTGTGTAGTCTCATTTGTAACTCGCTTCTCCAATTGAAAGCATCCAAGTTTCTTGATAGCCTAAAAATTAAAGTAATTATATATAATATAATATGTGTATATTATGTGTATATTTACAAATATGTTTAAGAAGATTTTTATTGTGGTTTAGTGTAATAAAACTTCAACTGTTACTGTTTGGTGCCAGTAACCGAAAATTATTCAAATTTAATCGAAGTTTGGCAGTGAGTTTTTTTTTGTGTTCTTGTTTTTGGAAAAAGTTTTATGGAACATGCAAATTGTCTATGAATCATAAAAAACATGCAAATCACATTTATGTGAATTAATTACTTTAAAGATATTTAATAGACATTAATGTGATATATAGATTTATTGTATGGAGGAGTAGAGCGAACTCTGTGTGGATGGCATGCGATGTAGGTGTACTTTTATTGGAATGGTATAAAAATTGTATTTATGGTATTTAAATCATATATTAATGTGGACGTGGTAATTAAATATTAATATTTAATTTCAGAGGTTTGTTGTTTTTATTAGAACCTCACAACTTCTTTAATATCATAATTAATTACTTAATATTTTAATAAATAAAATTCTTAGTACTGTTGCATCAAATCTTTTATATATATGTATATTATTTATAATTTTAAACAATTAAATTTGGAATTTGTTTCTCGACCTTGTTTTTTTAATAATGTTTTTTTATATATTTTATAACCGGTTACAGATCCTCTTTTTTAAATGAAATCTTTTTTTTAATATATTCTATATTTGGACTCTTTGAGAGTCAACATCAGGATAAGAATTAATTAATAAACATTAATTAATATTAATAAAATCTATATTTATTCATGTAATTGGTACCGTTGTAAATATTGCAACGCAAAATGTCTCATTATCATAGGTCTAACATTAAAAATATTTTTTGGATTTCTTTCCAAACCCATTCTTACAATATGAGCGCCCCATTGAAGTCCCTCTGCTTTCATGAAGCTTACTATATATTTTTGTTTTATTATAAGTTGTTAATGTCGTTATTTGTTCTTGATCTGTAAGTTAACTCTTATTCTGGCAGATTAATAGTTTAGATGAAAATTTTTCTTTTGAATATTTAAGAAGACTTTTTTATTAACTTTTATAGCTTTTATGTTAAAATATAAATTAAATATATTTTTTGTTATCATTAAAATTAATTTTATTCACATTTTAAAGTAACAATAAAATTTATGATTCCACGAGGTAGGATATATGCTCTTTCAAATACTATAATAGTATATTAGTACTATATAGTAATATATAAAATACTATTATTCTAATCCTAATATATAATTATCTTAAAAACTAAAGGTTATATCATTGTAATATCATTAAAATTTACTATTTCACAGAGGTAAAAATATTTGTTCTATTAAACCATATTTCATTATAATTAATAATAACCAAAAGATAACACATATTTATTAACTAATCGAATCGAATTATAACAAAAAAAAAAAAGAAGATTCCACTATATAAGGCTGTATTTAAGACTAATATTATTTATCAAGTACCTTTATGTACTATATGAGGCAATTACTTTTGGGTATGGTCTTAATTTGATCTTATTTTTAACGAGTTTATTAACCCCCAAGAAAGAGTAATGATTAAAAAGATTAATCACAATACTGATTAGTAGAAAAAATATATATTAACTATATCAACGAAAAATAAGTCATTGTTTTCAAGAACGACGATGTCTACGTTCCGAAATTAATCGTCTGTATAGATGACAAATCTCCGTTCACTTTCCAATGTAAACAAAAAGCACAGGATCTGAATGGCTACTAAAATGTTATACAAACGTTAATATTATAACAATATTTTAATTTCTTTTTTTATCTCTTTGTATCTCTTTGTAAGTTCCACAGGGTAATGGGTACCACATAATGTGAGTTTTAACTATAAGAAATGCTTTTACCTATTTATAATTTAAGCTTATCTGGCCCCAAGTTTTAATAAAGCTATATGCAGTTAGTGGATATGTTGGGTAGATGTTTCACTTAGCATTTCATAGAATCTACAGATACTGTTTATTAATTTTAGTCGATTTATCATAGAAAAAGTTGATAAATAAAACCGGGAAAAGTCACGACATCATTAAGAAATTGAAACTCAATATTGATTTAAAGTATTTTTATACAGTTGATTACAAAAACAAAGCTCGTTATTCAGCTGTTTCATGAAGAGTGTAAAATAAAGTAATGGGCCGAATTTGTATGTATGGATCGCTTTTAATATGTAATGAAATCTATTCATTTTTTAAGAATGATAAAAAGTGGATTTTTTATGGTCAAAAATTGACTTTTACAAATAATGGTGAAACACTGATTTACAATGTATGATATTTGTTGTTTGGTGGTATTGTAAGGGAATCATCTATTAATAGCTATTATCGCTTGACTGGGACCTGTTTCTACTTATTAGGGTTTCTTTTAACTAATGTAGTATTAAACCGCAGCATCAGAGGATATCTGTTGTTCAGACACTTTAATATATTTGTATATATTAGACTGCAAGTGTCAGGCATTGAAATTTGTTAAATATGGAATACAGATGTGTTAAATCACCTATTTAATGAATTTACAATTTTATCGTTTGCTGCTTTGCTTAATAACAATGCACTTATTCGATATTTTTAGTACAAACGCATAAATTACAGCTATATCAATGATTTCAACTATAATTTTTATTGGAATTGTAATTTAAGTTATTGATAATTTTTTATAAAAGTAATTATTGCTTTTTTGTTATTTATAAACTAAAAAATAAAATGATTGTAGTTAATTTATCCACTATAAATCGTCTTCAATTATAAATAAAGACTTTTTTCATTGAATATAAAAATTACAACAATATTAGTTCAAAAAAAAATGTGTTCAATTTTGTCTCAATATTATTGTCATTGCTAACTATTGAATGAAATCGAATATTGTCTTTTTTTTAGAATAAAGTATACATTTTATAATTCATTAATATTAATGTTTCGAAATTAACAATTAAGATTTAGTTTTTGATCAAATATTACATATATAACAATAGATATTTTTTTTACAACAATTAATTTAATTAATATAAAATTAATATTACATATACAATTATAATTACTAGTTTTGAAAAGTAAATTTCTAAATTTAATATAATTTTAAAATTTAACAACTAGGTTTTAAATAAATTGAAAGTATGAAATATACATGAAAGAATGATAAAACAAATATTTATATAAAAATAAAAACTGTAACATTAAAAAATAAAATTATAAATTTTTAAAAAAATAAAATAAATATTAAAAAAAAATACTAATTAAACAAAAAGTTTACTAAACGAAAATAGTTAAAAAAAAATAAAATTAATTGAAAAAAAATAAATAAAATTGAAATAAAAAAATATTAAAATAAAAAACAATAATTATTATATTAAAAAAAAAATTATTATATTGAAAAAAATTATAATATTGAAAATAAAAGAATAATTACAATAATAATACAAATATACTAAATTAATATATAATAATTCATCAAGAAGAAAAAGATATATATAATTCATAAAAGTAAATTGTGTGTTTTCTCTTCATTTTGTGTATTAAACTAATTTTTACATAAATAATT